ATCATGTGGTCCCTCGCCTCAACGCCGGCGGGAGCAGCGCCGAGAGCCCAGTAGCGTCCCTTCAGAGCGGGTTCCTCACGCGCGGCCTTAGCCTTGTCTACGGTGATGCTCCCCTGTACGCTTCCCTCGAGCGAGAGGCTCATGTCTGCGGAGGCATCGAGTTCGAGGAAGACGCCGGCCTCGACGATATCGCCCAGTGCAGATACTTTGAGGTTGAGCGAGGGGATAAAGTGGGCGGTGACGGTGCCTGTAGCTTTAACGGATGGAGAGAGGGAAAGCTTGAGGGCTGAAAAGGAAGTTGCTTCGTAAATGCACTTAATTGGAGAGTATGGTAACACTTACGGGTGTCCCCGACGGTGAATGCACCACCAGCATCTTTCGCCTTCTTGCTATCTGCTGGGAAGACGAGCTGTGCTTTCTCAACGTGGTAGTTGAGGCCGACGGTCAGGTCTGCCTGGAGGTCGAGCTGCGCCGTTGCCTGTGCGTTGACTTCAAAGGTAGGGCCGATGGTGAGAACGCTGCGGAGTCCTATGAATACATGTGGATTCGGGGAGTTTGCACAAGTACATACCCTGGGAAGTCAAGTCCTGGGACGCCTACTTCAAAAATCTTGAGCTTGCCCGAATCAAGGGTGCCCTGTTGCGCATCCCATAGTTCAGACATTTTTGGTTGTGACGGAACAGTGAAAATGACATACAGAAGCAGTGGCGACCATCGTAACGCTCCCGTCGAGATCAGCCGTCAGAGCTTGATAAATCATCGCAGTTAGGTGGTTTATTGATCTATCGTGAAGATAAAACGCACTGGTAATAACCGCGAAATCTTTCACCTTCGGAGGAATGATGGTACCAGAGGCCGCAACACCGATGGTTGCGACGGCATTGGCCTTAGCGTCAACATCAATCTTGAGGGAGGCGGTGATAGGAGGACATGAAACCTGTTGATTCAGAAGGTTGAAGTTCTTGTCAACGGTGAGAGGGCTGAGAGTCTTGGACTTGTCAACGTCAAAGTCGTTAAGACCCTTGATAGCTGTAGCATGGTGAATTCACGACGAAATAAAGGTTTGGGTCCAAGTTACTGACCATCAATGGCGTCACCAACAAAATCGAAAAGACCACGCTCGTTGTTGCCATATATACGGCTGCGGCGACTGGGGCCTACGGTAGAGGTATCTATATCACCAGCTGCTCCCTTGATATTGGCACCTTTAACAGCGAAGTTGACGGGACCAGTTCTTCGGAGAGGACACGAAGGTTAGCGTGATAACTCATTGAAGTGCGTCGTGAGCAACGTACTTCGACGAGTCAACGGCGTCAAACTTGGTGTCGAGGGTGAGAGCCTTGACCTGGGGTTGCTTGCCATCGCGACGAACAATCTTTCCAGCAACAGAGGCGGGGATGGACTGGTCTTCTGGGACCCAGGCGCGCGCAACACGGGCAAAGGCATTCTTACCACACTGACCAAATTCAAATTATGAGTTAGATGAGGGTTACAAGGAAATCGAGGTTCTGCGCGCACTGATTCGGGTAACCGTACAATCTTTCCTTCCGCTCCTGCGCTCTCGTAAAGGTGGGAACATCCTGCGGCCTTGGAATCATCACTATTACAGACGAGGCGGATGTCCTGCGAGAGTTTGTCGGGGGAGCAGCCTAGAATCTCCCATCCTGCAGCAGTGGTAATATCTGAAATGGCATCTTTCGAGCCCCACTAAATTTCGCGTTAGCTCACTTAAGTCGCGATAGCTAAGGGTAGAGGGCATACGATTTTCAGGGATCCCGAGGACGAGCCAGCTGAATCGGGAATATCTGAAGCGAACCGTAAGTCGCGTCCATTGATTATTGTAGGGAAACGCACCATAAGAACAGACACCGGATAAGCACGGTTTCGTCCAGTCGTTCAACGCATGGGTAGCGGTGGCGAGGGATATAAGAAGAAGCGTCGAATAAACCATGGTTTCTTGGGTGTGTATGAAAAAGGTAGTATTGCCGGGATACTAGACCTGCCGGGGTCGAACGAACGAATAGAAGACGCGTGAAAGAAAGGACGGGACGAGACCCCAAAAAAAAACAGCCAGTGGTCCACTGAAGGGAAATGATACGAAAAGAATGGGGTCTATTTCTGATCACATACAAGGTTTTATACACGGACATTGCGATCAGAGGGAGATGGAGGTATAGGTAGAGCTGTCAGAGCTATGGTAACATTGCCGGATCGACTGATGATCGAGTCAACGGTCATGCGGTGGTTTCGTGTGGCGAAGTTTGACTGGTTGGGAAGGAGAAGACAGAACTGATTGATATCGAGTGTGAACAGCGGTAGTTGTGCTTGGCACGTCGGGGAGTACTTGGAATCTCACCATCGCGTACTAGAGAGGTAAGGCATGCCCAGTTCAAGAAGCCGTTCTCGAACAATCTGGCACCAGCAGAGATTGAGATTTTAAGGTGAAGTCTGGCATTGCTATGTGGTGGTTGAACATCAAGTTGATAATTAATTCTCAGATCTCAGCCACGATCATGATCGAGATTTCCGGATCGGGCATTTGGCCCGTTGTTCTCGACTCACCACCAATATACAAGGTCTACGAATACTAGTAAGGTAGGGCTCAGCAGTGAAACTGCCATACACTACCTTCAATGCTCCTTAGCTCGCCAGAGCAACCCCTAGTATCCACCTGTTCCCTCCGTCACAGGAATGCCAGAATCGTCAGACTCTCACTTTCACGTTACGCTTACAAGTACGCTTATCAAAGTGAGTGTTTTGGCGACAGATTTCCTCATGATAGGTATTCTGACAACTAGGCAACAAGTGCGACGACGTCGCGGTCACCCACATTGGCTACATTTTTGACGTTCGGAGAGTCAATTAGGCCCCCTCGCTGAACTCTACTCGTACGCTCCTAGACTTCAATTTGTTGGACCTGAAACGCTGACAGCATGCTGATCGTTGTTCAGCAGGACAGGGAACTCAGGCAGATATGTTGTATTAGGTGTCGGCTAAAACCAGCTGAGCGCTCGCACAACTCCCTTGCTTTGCTGCTCTCTCTTTCGAAACTGGACAAGGTTCTATCTCCCTTTTAGCCATCTGAATTCTTTGCATCTCTTTTCATTAGGCTCTGGATATTTGAACAATAAGCCCCAGCAAGCGCACACCATGTTCCGTGGCTTCAATTACAGGTCCTTTCGGAGTGTTCGCAGATCTAGATGCTATCTTTGAAATAACGTGGCCTATGCAGCAAGCACTTCGCCATCGCATGATCCTTAGAAGGTCAAGTTGGGCAATGGAGAAGTAGGTTATCTTGAGAGCGTTTGTAAAAGATTGCTCGTCACTACGTCCGCATCAATCGCAGCCATAGCATATCAGCGGCGCCATCCCCTCCCCGACGAGTTCTTGGGCACTTTTTCAACGTAGCGCTTCTTCCGGCCGTCGACAATCGGTGCTAATCCAGAAAAACTGACGATACTTCCGTTCCTCGACTAGCTAGCGGTCTAGAGGTTCAATTAGAAGATCAACTCTATGGGGCTCACCATCCTCCGAGACACGACGCTTAGATTTCTACAACGGCGAAGAAGCACCGCTGGCCTTATCTCTAAAGTTCTCCTGCTAGATCGAAAGCCGGTATATTTAGCAACCCCACATCCGATGAATACCACTAGAAGCGCTGCTCTTTCATAATTTGTACTGGACCCAGAATGTTCTCTTCCAATCTCCACTCCGAGTAAGCCGAATCAGGTATCGATCTCTTCAGCGCGCTCTTTACTACTAACGGGCCGTAGGCGTGCTGCGATAAAGACGGAGAGAAATCAGCCACCATATTACTTATCGCGCAGCAGGTGACGGCGGCGTCTCACCGCGGTGGGGGTGCAAAGTCCTTGCCGGTCAAGCGCGCAGTTGGGAATAGCTTTAACTCGATAAAAATAGACCTAGCGCCACACCCCAGAATGGCCGCTGACATCTGAATTCAGGCATGTTGGTGCAAATGGTTGTTAAGACCTCTGATATTTTGATTCCAGCAAGGCAATCATGCCATGGACGAATCACGAGATACCCATCTGTTGATACGTCTTAGGCAAGCGTCTGTCTTTTTCTCCCGCTGTCCAATTTCTCTCCCATCTTATGTTATATGTTCATCATTTCAGATTCGGTCCACTACCATATGATACTCTTTCTCTTCTCGGCTTGTGAAGGTGTCCTGAAAGGTTCCGCTTGACCAGTTCCTTGTGAGGTTCTCCGTCACGCTGATCCCGTTGTCATGCGTCTACAGGTCAGTTCCCAGCTGCATGAATGGGCAAAACCTGTGTATTGGCGATCTATGCCTCCTTGCTCGGGCGCTGACTCCTAGGACATCCTTGTCATAAATCGCTTATGGTGATGCGCTGACCCGGCCTTTAACCTCTCCACCGCCGAGGCCCGACGTACCATGCTCCCCAAAAAAATCAGAGTCTCGACTCAACGAGCCGTGCGGACAGTGTTCATTCCAGTTTAGATCGGTGTTTCACGCGTAACAAAGAGCTCCGTGTTCTTGGGGAGCGGTCCTGCACAATCAACAATTTTTAGACAAGGGAACCCAACTTGGGCGTTCAGGGAGTTGGATCTACTTGTGTGTATTGGCCCTGGACCTGGTGCAAGTTAGTATGAATCGAACGCGGTCGGTGAGTACGCGCGAAACTAGGACTTGCTGTCTTAATTTACGGCTCAGTGATGACAGGCCGCACATCGGGCGTCAGCGTACGCGCTACTAGCACCATTGCGTTAAACGACGCTGACACTCATGATAGTATCATTTGCGTCCTTTGATCCCGTGCTTCTCATCGACATACTCTGTTGCTAGTATACATATGAATGGCGAGCGTCGCTCTCCTTCAATACTTTGCTTTGCCCCCTTTCGCTACCGCTCGCTCTCCATGGTACTCCTCTTTGCCTCCACGGCAAAAATTCCAAACATAATTTCAATTTTCCGAGGCACAGTGCGCGCCCGAGCGGATGGGAATTGCCAAAATATATGGACACACCCGGAATTGAACCGGGGACCACTCGCAACTGTCAGTGCAAAGCGAGCGTGATAACCAACTACACCATGTGCCCATGGTGGTCAGCCAGGCTCCGACTCCACTCCAGGCATTGCTGATGCTTCAGCCTCGGACCTCCCATGGCAGAATTTCAAGCCGCCTACTTATAAAGTTGCCCCACTCTTCATACACGCACACCAAGTCTAGACATGAGGTGAATCCATACTCTTCGTTTCTTTGTTCTATACAAACTTGCGCTCACTCTGGCTTGCATTGATCTGTAGAGTTAGGGCGCGGTGATAAAACATTTGGCATCCTTGGGCCAAAGTGCCAGCAATCACACAACTTCTTCATTGCTTCTTCGATCGCAGCCACGAGCTCCCGCCCATGAGAGTATCAGGCCTAACAAAATGAGTTCTCGTGAGTTCATTTTCATCGCTCCGCACAGGGCCGTGAGTAATTGTCAAAACGACCAACAGCTAAATTGAGAATGAGATTAAACAGGATCCAGCAAGTACGGAAATTATCCATCCCTTCACAGGATGGCCCGCTTGTTTTTGTTCGAATCGGCGGAACTTCTGCGCTTATTGTTACGGCTCTGTATCCTTATGACTGCCACGGAATAGCACGGAATGGAGGTGCGGGTCAAGTACGCGATGATCCTCGCGATGCCATACGGTCCCTGAGACAAAAAAACCTCAGTAATGATCCTTGTGGTGAGCACTGTGCTTTCAACTTGATTTTGGACTGAAGTGTTTTCAGACATCGTGACCCCCGTGATGTTCAGCTTGCACGCCCGTGTTCGTGATCGCTTGCTCTTCGACTGTAATCATGATCTAGCACAGCTAATCGCTTAACTCGATGCCACATGGCTTGCCCTGGCTGCCTCTTATGCAATTTCCGTGAGTTGAGGGAGGTTGAGGGTGAGGGAGGGATCAACTGAGTATTGCTTGATTAGATGCCAGAGTTGTCGATTTTTTTTCTCGAGACATATGGATGCGGGCGATCGGGAACTCGGGAGGCCATTCATTGGGTGCTTTCAACTATGTCTGCCTTGCACTTGTAATGTGCATGGAAGGGCTGCCACTTGAGAAGTTCTCGGGGAGATCGCACGGGTACCGCCGCCGCCGCGAAGGTCATTGCAATTGCCCTCACGCACCAAAACATACTGACTAACCATCACAGAAAATCCCATCACTCCTCGGCGCAGATATGGATTCGGCGCCGACGGATTGGGACGACGGAATATCCTTGTATTCAAGTTAATGTACCCCGCGGTCGTCATTGATATAGCACTGGACCCTGGCTAAAAGGAGGTCAGTGGATCTACGATACTGGATCAGTTTCTCAACTCCGGAGGGTAAGTCGGACTCTTGGACAAACCGGTTCACCAACCCCAACCCAACTTATTCACTCATTTAGTGGGACTGGCAGAAGATTTGAATCTTGATTTTGGTCTACTTCATTCAGTGGTTACCTTCTTTTCGGGTGCATTTGTGGCTATGAGTGCCACGTTCGGCCATGACGATGTGTCCTTCTTCGAATGCAGCTTGGTGGAATATCCGCGCCCGACTTGCCACGCAAACCTTCGGAGAGCGCGAAGCCATCATGAACTACTTAGCTCCTCTAAGGCTTGAGGTGCGCAACCCTGATGATTTTGATCGAGGTCTCTCTTACCCCATTGCTGAAGTCACCGGTCGGTATTTAGAAGTTGGCTCGTTTTTCTGCCTTGTTTCAGAACTGTATTTGAATACCGGGATACGCAGAGGGTTCGTACGCGCCGCGCGACATACGGGCTATTACCAATCTTGGACTGAAATATACTATCTGTGCCAAAGGGCGCTTCACGTCAAGACACGCTATTCGAACATATGTTATACCCATCCCATGAACGAGTATCTAAAAGGCGCTACCAGAAAGTCACAGCGGCAGGATGGTTCTTCTGGAGGCGGTTCATAAGGAATTCTAATAATATCGTCAGGCTAGAGGGCGAGATCCTATAGAGGCAGGACTCACTCATCAGAACATTGCCTGATGAGAATTTATTCATCTGCGACAGGACGGAGTGCAATAAGGTCGACCATTGTGGATTGTTTCCCGTCGCCGGTGAATCGACCTTAAGAAGCTCGTGTACAAATACCTCGCAGGCGGCGGTCCAGAGCACCTGTAATAGATAATAAGACGAGATAGATTTACGACGTTCAAATATCGACGCACCCCTATAATGGGATCAATTCTAAGGGCACTCGTTGGGGTTATACTGTGAGTCAGAACAGCAATCGCTTGGGCGGCGAGGAGTGATTTCTGCCGTGAGTGCGCATTGCCTTTGTCGGAGAGCGGCAGATGCAGCTTGATGGTGGCAACATGGGTCATCATTTTCATCACAATGAGGGTCTCTGTGTCAGACGGTTGTCCGTCCATCTGATCGACCAAGGGAAAATGGGTCTTGAACTGGTCAACGAGCATATCGAGGCGCGTAAAGGCGTCCCAGGGTTCGGTCCCTGCCATAGGATCGAGCTCACTGGGGGTCGACCCTCGAATGATCGTTGCTTGTTCTAGGAGAACGGCAGCTTTCGCGTGTAGGGCCATGACAGAGAATCCTTCGATGGTCGTGCTCTCCAAGAACCGCTTGATTGTGTCACTGCTTACGCGCGGAAGTAGTTGCTACAGCGTCATATGAGAGATGAAAAACGAGCCCAGTCGAAAGCAGGAAAAAGGTTACTTACAAGCTCGTATTCAATCATGTCCATAGGCCATGGAGTATCGACTCCGATATTCTGTAGGTCGAAAAACATGGAATGAGATTCCTGGATCGCAATCCAGTAGTTGTTGAGTATGAGGACAGCCCAAAATGCGTCTATCCGTTCTCCCTCCTCAGTGCCGTCGGCAGGCGTCGGTAGAGTTGTCGTCAACATTCGTGGTGAACCCGAGGGCGTCGATGTTGACCTCGGGTTGCCAGGCGTGCGAATGCGGTGGAGGCCACACGAGAGGGACAGTGAGACTGCAGCGTTAGCATGATAGTTCCCACCGAGAACCTTGCCATGCTTGAGATAATAATAAGATAGAAGGACCTCCGCTTGTATGCCATGGACGATCTTCTGTGGATGAGAGCTGGACAGGTCTTTCGAAAGATGATAAAGAGCGTTGCGCAGAAAGCTCTTTTCGTCGAAGCCCTCTGGTAAGGATGGAGATAAATGGCTGCCCCAGAGGTATATGGCGTTCAACAGGGAAGGCGTTGGTCGAGCATGGTGTCCAATCGGTAGAGAAAGCAGAAACGATTGGTGGAATCGGTCGATATTGAGGAAAAACCCGAAGCGGGGGCAATGTTGGTAGAAGGTATTGACTCTGTAGCGGTATCAGAATACAATCCAGGTCTGCAAGGCAGAAAAAAACTCGCAGGAGTAGCATTATGTCCATGGGAGGCTCTTGAACCGGGGTGGGAGCAAAGCTATTCTTTGGTACAGACGCAGGAGAACTTGACGACGAAGAAGGCTGAGAGATTGGACTGCTTTTGCCTTGACGAGAAAGTGAGACGCAAGTTAAAATGTATGTAGTCACACGGACCGGATGGTATGACCAACGGCGCATCACAGTCGAATCGTGGTGGGGAGTCATGCGAATATGGCTGGTGTAAGGGTACGTCGGTCGGTTCTTCCACATTTTCGAGCTGGCGAATACGGCTTTGGAGGTGCGAGATTCTATCTTCCAGAATTTGAGTCTGGGTGAGGCCTCCACCGGGATATTCGCAGTCTTCAAAGGCTCCGTTAGACCGTGCACATTGACCGCAGGACGGCCTGTCACTATCGCATTTCTGCGAGGTAGCATTAGTGATAGCTCAGAATGGGTCAGAAGAAGCGAGTTACAATCTTCCTCCGTCTATATAATCACAGATGATCAGTGGCGCGCCATGAAATCATGAGGTAGACGCGTCAATACACACCTGCAGTTCATACACGCTTTGCCCTTCAACATCGTGGGTGATAATACTTAGTGATGATGCGTGCTGGAATTAGGAACAAGGATTTTCTTGCTGAAAGTGAGTTATATATATAACGTTAACCTAACCCTGTCATCGGCAGACCCTTTCCGGCGCCCAGGACGCAATGCAGCATCCTGCAGGCTCCGACGCGATAATAGCGGTCAGCCCCATGCGAGTCATCTACACAATTGGTTTGAGTTGGGGATTGGCGCTTGATTAACCTGATGCACGATCAAGATATGTTCGTTAGTTGTGTAGAGATCTTGGACCTTGTGGAGAATAGAAGGCGAACCAAACTGGGTGCTGGAATGTAAGCGGAAACAAGAAGGTAGAGCGCTGGAGATGGATGCGGGCAGTGTAATTTCCATGATATCGGGGAATAACACCTGCACAGAGTCCCGCCGACTTCCCCGATATATCGGCAATCGCGGAAAATAGTCGACTTTGGGCGCGGTGTCACCTGATCGTTGACTACCAATTTAGGCTGAGGGTGGGGGAGGCGAGTCAACTTCGTTCAACGGCTAACATCATGAAGTCATTCTGACTCTGAGGAGCTCACCGTCTGCGACCTCATGAATCATGGGCTGATGCGTTTCAGACACTGGGGCCGGAACCTCGAAAGGTGCGCTGTTGTACACCTAAACTGTCTCAATTTGCAAAACTTTGAAGTCCTATCACTGTCTAAGTAGCAATACCTCGAGTGCCGCTGTCTGTGGACGTCAGTCGCGGCCAAGTCATGGCAGTAGCAAGCACCACGAACCACGATAAAGGATTCACCGGAATGATATAAAATCTACAGATGAAGTGGGATAATACGAACAACCTCGTTAGGATACATCAAAAGCCTACATGGGTCCATCGTCCCTACTACTTACCACGGAGGAAAACACAGACTGGGGTATTAAAAAAAGTGAAGGATAAACTACAGCTGGCGCCTCCAGGACTGGGTTATAACTTTTCGGGTGGCCCTTGCGCTCCTAGGCTGGCGACGAACTCCGCCACAGCTGGCCAATAACCTGTTTGCACACACGTATCGTCTTCAAGTATTCATGTCGTCAGACGATGATTCGGACGTCATCTTGGAACAGATAGCACGC